TAAATAAATACGTGACCCTATAATTTGTATTAATCTTATTGTAATTTTTATTCTAATATTATTAATTTAATATAATTAGAGTGGAAAATTTAAAATTTGAAATTTGAAATAGAGAATAAATAGGTTGACAAGTGGCATAACATTAATTAAGATGTCTAATAGGATGACACATGATAAAAGGAGAATAAACTTATTTTTTTATTAGAAGATTTCTTTTCTATTTAGCTATCCAAATCATTCAATGCCAATAACCATTGTAAGGGTCGTTTGATTTGCATTCTAACCGAGTCCAAAGTAGGACTGGGTCCTAATTTCTCAATTAGCATGTTTGATTTACCATTTAAAACTTTGGATTCGGTCCAAAATAAGGACTCGGTCCATTAAAGTTTGTTGATTCGGTCCTCAACAAATATGTGAAGGACTGGGAACGAAAGTCACGATCTCTATTTTGCCCCCATCTTGCTCTCGCTCTCTCGCTCTATTCAACGGTGATATGCCCTGTACACTCTCGATCACGAATTGCCACAACACCACCGTCTTCTTTACGTACGTAAGTAGTTGCCCCATTTCTTTCAGTCCCACAATAACCCTAAAATTTTTCTCCCATTCCAGTTCTGTAATGTTGGATGTGCGTCGGAGCTACATACCGGAGTAGCTATGGCTCTAGCGGCAACGGAATAGTTAAATACACCAGAATCTCCAACATAGGGATCCCGAACTATTGACTATTTTGAGAAATTGGAACAGATTGGTGAAGGAGAGTATCGTTACCAAATCTAAAGACGTTAATACTCAACGCCAATTCAATCTCTGGTCAAATCCCAAATTCAATAGGAAGACTTTCGTATTTGGATAGGTTAGACCATTCAAACAACCTATTAATCGGAAGTCTTCCTGAAAGCTTAGGTCACCTTTCCAGATTAATTTTTTTGAATGAATATAACAATATGTTGAATGGTTCAGTCAACTCAAATCAGTTGACAAATCTTACAGCGTTGAAAACTTTAAGGGGGTGAGAATAACAAGTTAACACTGCAACTGCAACCAAGTGTTGATGAAGATTGGGTTCCCTCTTTCCAACTAGACGTGTTGAGAATTGGGTCTTGAAATTTAGGACAAGGAACTAAGGATGTGATTCACCAACAAGTATCTACAAATGATGTGCAATACATATTGTCACTAAATACACTATCTTTTTTGGTACTTTTATAAAAAAATTGGTGTAATTTTGGTTTATTATAAAAATGGTGCTAAGATGTTGATTTTGTTTTTTATATATTTATGTGTTGGGTAAAAATGTAATGTTATAAATTAAATGGTAAATTATAAATGAATTATTATAAAAAATATTGTTTTAGTGTAATATAGTCACTTTGTATAGTTAGTCGAATGCAAAATCAAACAACAAGTTTCATTCGGAAGTTAACTCGGTCAGAACTTGTAACCCGGTCAGCTTCTAATCCAATCAGCTCTAACCCAGTTATCAACTATCAAACGACCCCTAACTCATTCAAAATTAGATTAATTAAACCAACGTAAATCTTTTAATTACAATAGTCCAAATTCTTAAATCTATTTCTTTTCCCTTTTAATGCATGGAAAAACCGAAGTTGAGCAATTAATTGGAACGTGAGAAACTATAAGGTGCCGAATGGTTTCTTTGACACAACCTCATATACTTTTATACCTAAAAATAAGTTCTCATCTATAAATACCACCTTACATAACACCTTTTTCAGCCACTTCTCCCCCATATACAAGTCTATTTACTAGTATTTACCATTTAACAACTAAAACAATCATTCATGACTCTATCTATACCTTCTTCAATGGCTCCATCATCGCCGGTGGTTGTTCAACAGTCACCGTGGCACTCACCAGTGCCATACCTCTTTTGTGGACTTGCTGCCATGCTCAGTCTCATTTCTTTTGCTCTCATGATCCTCGCTTGCTCCTATGCTAAACACGCCAGAGACGAGGAGAACGCCGGCGATGGAGAAAGAGACCTTGAGGCCGGAGATGATAAACCAGCCAACGACAAGGAATTATCCTCTGTTTTTGAAGAGAAATATCTGGTAATCATGGCGGGAGAATCAAAACCAACGTTTCTGGCGACACCCATCTCAAGCAGACCCTTAATGTTTTGTAGATGTAGTTGCCGGAGCTACTCGACGGAAAATTCCTCGACATCGGAAGTGGTAATGATGGAGGAGAATCAAGAAGAAAAACAGGGGAGGAGTAGTGATCAGGTACAAGTTAGGAACACGGAGAATCAGGACACCACAGATCATATCCCTTGATATCTTCCAAATTTTATTTCTTTTGCGTTCAGGGTACCCATCCAAAGAAATACCGAATGGTGGCGATTGTGGGTTGTATGGTAGATAGGATGGGGACTACTGTAGGTGATCATTGAGCATTACCTCGTATTTCTTAGTTTTAAGTTTTAACCAATCGGAATGTACATAAAAATTACAAGGAATGAAAGAGGACACTTGTTTACATTTTATTTGTGTTTTCATGCTTTCTATTTAAATATCCAAAAATCTCTTTTGCCCAAAACAATACATACTGTCGGAAGAAAATGACATGTAACATACAAACTAAACGAATAAAATGTATCATAGATCACATTTGGTTAGCTGTCTAAGTCATAGAGCTGTAGATTATCTAAGTCAATATGCAATGATTAATTATATTACTATAATGTCACACGGTTTTAAACATATTCCAAAACCATATATAATCACAAGTTCACAACCATCTTTTTTTTTTTTTTTCTACTTCAATACGATAAAGTTGTACACCATCTAATACAATGAAAGCAAATTAACTATTTTGTTCATATATATGTGATACGATATACACCGTATCGAATACAAGGTTGGGGAGATTTTCAAGTTTGCTATAACCAAAATGAAGGAATGTATTGTTGGTATCTCGGCTTTTATACGTATATAATACACTCGAAAATCTACTTAGTATTAAGCTAGGGAGGCATCCAAAAGCAAGTTCAAGAAATTGAGTAGACTACAAGAATGATCTTACTTCTTTATGAGGTTTTAAACTAATATTAGTGAATGGTGAATGCTGACACGTCCAGATAGTAACATTGTTGAATGGTGATGTGTCCAGAGAGTAGACTACAAGAAATTGAGTAGACATTGGTGAATGATGACGTGTCTAGATAGCGACCATTATAGTACAAGGTTTCCCTCGTTACCTAATTGTGTAAGGGTAGATAGTAGACCAATGAAACTTTTAGTCGCGTCAATAATATTGGGAAAGTGTATTTTTACTCTTGTTTTTTGATGTTGGGAAAATGTATTTTTGCACTTGTTTTTTGATGGGTTTCGATACACTACCCAAGATCCGAATATGTTTTGGGGAGGATCAGGTTACAAGGTGTTTGTAGTCCAATGAGAGGAAAATTTGTGATCAAATGGGTTTACACCATTAGTGTGAGATTAATTAATTAAAGATGCATATTGCCATTTTCATGAGTATCTTGGTATTCTTTTAAAGGTAACTCATATAACTAAAGAATAACATCAAAAAAGTTCGAAAGCAACAGACGAACATAGGGTAGAATATGTTACTGGAACTAACTGAACTAGTACCGAAATCAAAAACTGTATTTTGTAGGAACCGAGTACCGAACTGATAGATACTAATGACACTAATATCAATACTTCCATACTAATATCATTCTAATACCAAGTTTCTGTATGCAACAACCCCTGTTTGAGGCTATGTAACTCGGACTTAAGTATAACAAAACATGAGGCTCTTGAGTTTAAGATAAAGTCCAGACAACAAAAAATACTAGCACAAAGAATCAACCTCATCCGAGTTCATATGAGAGAAATATAAATATTCAAAATTGAGAAAAAAAATAGTACATGAAAAAATGATTGAAGTACGGAAAATCTAATTTATCAGATACCCATGTTTAACTCATGCTATCCAAATTAGTTGATTTTTTAGCTAAGAATCAAACCAGAATAAGTTTATATGAGAGAGTTATGCTATCCAAATTATGATCGTTTAAAGTTGAGGAAAAATATAAAAATATAAACATAAATTCAGGTTTGTTCAGGACCCTATAGTCTCGAGAACTGAAAATCGAATTAGGGCAAATCGAGTCCCGACCCAAAAAAACTATATGGTACTAATACCTATGCAATCCTAGAGGAACATAACATAAACCCTTTTCTTGATTTTTTTAATCCCAAGATGAAGCTAAAATGACAAAACAAACGGATATATGAGTTATATTATCTTAAATAACAATGATCAACATTAGTCAGTTAAGTGATGAACCACGATATTCATGGCTTCAACATGAATAGAAAATTTCAAAAAAATCACCATAAAGGTACATAAGATAGAAAGTTACAATTCAAAATATTCACGAACAAGAAACGTCCTAATGGCTAAAGTTAATAGGCAAAATTTGTCCTTTAATACCCTATATATCTTCTATCTCTTTTCAACTTGTTTCATTATTTATAACATATCGAAACAGAAACCGCAAATTAAAGATTTATTATCAATAATAAGACGTCCTCAATTATTAATAAAAATTTAAATTAAACGATACCTTAATATTCACTCCATTTGGATATTCGTTTCCCTTATTGCCATCTAAAGATATACTAAATACTAAAATTTTAAATAAATAAACGCACTAAAGCTTTTCTTTGCTTGTAATTGTACGTAAGAACCCCATTTATATTCCATTAACCATAAGATTAGATTTTAAAAAGGGAATATAATTCCAATATCATAATAATAAAAAAAAAGTATGTAATATTAAATTATATAATAATAATAATAAATGAAAAGAAAAAAATTCAGATTTTATCGTCTATAAATTCCTTGAAATAGAACCAGTTCCTAATCCACTCATCCACCATTAACAAATCTAACTGTTCACTTTCTAATCTAATCCAACGATACCAAAAGCAAAACTGAAGAAACAGTGATGACAATGGCTCCTTCTTCGCCGGCGGTGGTTAAACAGTCGCCGTGGCACACACCGGTGCCATACTTCTTCGGAGGTTTAGCTGCCGTTTTGGGTCTCATTGCGTTTGCTCTCTTGATTCTCGCCTGCACCTACTTAAATGTTACCGACGATGACCAGAACGACGGGGACGGAGAGAGAGACCTTGAAGCCGGAGATGCCAAGTCCGATAATCACAAGATGGAACTCACTGTTTTCGAAGACAAGTATCTGGTAATCATGGCGGGAGAAGCAAAACCAACTTTTTTGGCAACACCTGTTACGAGCAAAACATTGTCTTTTGGTAGTTGTGGCTGCCGGAGTAACCCATCGGAGAAATCGTCGACGTCGGAGAAGGTGAAAGAAGGGAGCAACGATCAGCTACAAGTAAGGAACACCGAGAACCAGTAGACCCCAGATCAGCTCCATTAGCATTAGCTTCTTTTGCTTTTGCTTTTAAAAGATTCATATGGGAGTCGACTAGTCGAGCCATCTGATATCAGTTTTGTTCATTGAAAACGGTGGTGATCGTGGAGAGCATGTTAGATACAGTGAGGGCTTCCATAGGTGATTGTAGGGCTTGTTCTTGTTTTCTTCGTCAATTGAGTGTACTTGTTTGTACATACAAAGTCGCTAAAATTCAATTTGATGAAGAACAAAATTAAGTACTGCTTAAAACATTTACATTAATTCAAATGTTATTATTTGTAATGTAAATTTTCATTTAATGTAATATCTCAGGTTGTTTATTTATTTAGTTATTATATTTATAAATTTCTTTGTTCTTTGTTAATAATTTTAAAATCAGCTCACAATCAAAATTGTATTTTAGAAAAGTTAACATAATTCTTATTTCACGATCAAAATTGTTTTTTTGATATAAAAGTTAACTAATTCTTGTTTACCAAAAGAAAAGGATTAAATAAATGAAGTTGAATCCAATGAACCTGAACTCCATTTAATGAAGGGAAAGATTGTTCAAATGCATGATTGTCACGTTTATTATGGTACTTGTATGCATGTTCCTCAATAGACCCGTCATGTCATCAATCATCATATCTACACGAATGTGTGTATACGCAATCAATATCAAAGGATATGGCTTTATAATTTATAAAAAATATTTTATGTAACTATAATTACATAACTAATAGGGCAGTTAGATAAGAGAAAAGAGATGTTATTTTGATTAAAATGTCAAATGATATGAGTCATTTTCAACTTATTCTATTTAAAATCTATACCGGAAGCTAAAACAAATAGAACTTCATATACAATAAAACCCTTTGGAAGAATCTTCTTGAAAGAGAGGGGTGCCTTTGTGAACACGATAATTTTCAACTTATTCTATCAACCGTTTTGTAAGGTGTTGGGTTAATAGTCCTGCAACAAGTGCAACCCTTTGTTTAGTTGATATTATTGAGTTTGAAACCCTGAATAAACTACATGTGATAAGATAAGTTGGAGGAATGTGAGGATGACCCTGGTCATCATGCCCTTTAGGCCCTGTGTGACACATGTTTGAGGCTCTTTGTTCACCCGATAATACATACAGACCGTTTAAGGCATCCATTTGAAAGACAGATACGCATGCCTCAAACTGAAACCAAATGTGGATCGAACTCGAGTGACTCTCCTTTAGCGACGATTTCTTTCATCAATTGTGACGACAAATGCCGTTGCTAAAGTGATCTTTTTTGTTGTGTTAAAAGAGATATGGTAATTAAAAACAAGCGAAAGGATAAAGGGGAAAATAGGACCCGATTTAGTATTAAATAACCGATATAAAGAAAAGCAGTAAAAAAGAAGTTATCACTGGAAATTATTTAATTTGATAGTATTTATTCCTGTGTGCCTAAGTCTCATGTTTTGTTTTATTGTTATATTTGGCATAACATAATTATTAGAAAATTGAAAAGAGAAACGCACTCGATATATTCCAATAACCTGAATAAAATAAAATAAAAATACAAACATAAAATATGACGCCATTTTTCTCTATTAAGAACAAAAATATCGACCATTTTCGAATTTCGTGTATAAATAGCATCAAATGGAACCATTTCCTAATCCACTCATCAACTCTAATCATCTTCCATTTCTCTCTTGTCTTTCAAGTTTCAACCTCAATAATCCACCATTAATGACTCTTCAAGCTTCTTCAATGGCTCCATCCTCTCCAGTGACCATACAACGATCACCATGGCACTCACCAGTACCCTACCTGTTTGGAGGGTTAGCTGCCATGATGGGTCTCATTGCCTTCGCCCTCTTGATCCTCGCATGCTCCTACTGGAAGATCTCATCCGAAGCCGGAGACAGAGACCTTGAGGCCGGAGAAGGAGACGCAGACGGCGACTCCAAACCCGGTAATCACAAAGAAAAGGAAACTCCTGTTTTCGAAGAGAAGTATCTGGTAATAATGGCGGGACAAGATAAACCGACGTTTTTGGCAACACCCATATCCAGCAGAGCGTCGTCGTTTGGTAGCTGTAGTTCCTGTGGCAACTCAACGGTGTCGACGGAGACATCGTCGGTGACGGAGGAGGAAAAAGAGAAGACTTGTGATCAGTTACAAGTAACGAATACGGAGAACCATGAGACAGCAGATCAAGAGCTTTCTTAGTTTTTCTTTCTTTTTCTTTTTTGGAAATTTTGTTTCTTTTCACTTGAAGGAAAGGAATTCTTCTGTAAGTCACCATGGATGCTGACGAATGAGCTCCGGTGACTGCGGTTGCATAGTAGATAGGGTAAGGGGTTTTGTAGATGATCATAGAGCACCATCTCAACTTTTTTGGAGAATGAAAGGAATTTTCCATTTTGCCACATAATATATTTTTGGAATTTCTATACATATATTTTGTATATAAAATATAAAACGTTCAAATGCAAACTAACGATTGTGTGAGAACGTAAAATGATTTTGGTGCATCATATTAAAATAATCAACGATACTCATGATTCAGATGAAAATGAATATTATTTTAAAATAATTATTTATAGATAAAATCTGATTTGTATTTTTATCGAAACCACGGATTATTTCAATTTAACGCTTAAGAATTGTTATCACACACAAAATGGTGAGAATTGCAAAAATAATTCTCAATTAATCATTCCGTTGATGATATAAGATCGGAACTGGACACATGCAAAGCACACTCATAGATTCAAATGGGGGCTAAGATGTAATATATGATCACATATATCATAACGTAGCCTTGATTTTTTAAGTCTTCATGTCGCCACAGATATCATTAAATCGTTTTGAATTTTGGTTAACTTCTTTATTGTCGATACTATTACATTGTAACACAAACATAAGCATAAAAAGACAAGGTTTTTGAATGAACAAAAGCTTAAAAAGGCATTTTTAAACTCCATAATAGGTGTTCTACAAATTGATTCATCATGATATAACAGTTAACACCCTTAACACTTTAGTTTCCTCCTTCTTAGGTTACAAGCACATAAGTTACAATCCTTATGAATATAAAAGAAATTTTTCTTAAAATTATACACGTGTGTAGTTTGGCTGATCCAAAGTAGTCTTTACATGATTTTTTTGACAGGGTTGATCCATGTGGTCTGAAAATATTGCACAATAGGTCCTTATGGATGACACTATTAGAAAAAAAAAGTTAAGTATTCATTAAATGATCAATATACCATTTTTTTTATTTTTTTTTTCTTTTTCCTAAAATAATTTATGATTTAATAAAATAAAAACAAAAGAACCTGAACATATATAAAAAAAAGCAGAATAAATGAGAATATCTACCATGGAAAATTCAATGAGGGGTTGAATGAAATGACATACCTAGTTGTCATTCGTTGTCATCCAATGGATGATATCCTATTATTGTAAAATGTCACATTGACATTCAATAGATTTGGACTTTAATGGTCATGGAACTCTTTAATAGAAAAAAAATGTTTTATAATTCTTAAATACATGTTAAAATATATTTCACTGAACTTTATAGAATTGAATGCATTATAAGAAAAAACTGATAGAGTTGTATGAAATTTAGTAATGTGACAATTCATGGAGCTCTATTGACTTCAATGTATTCTGGATGTCCCGAATGTCAATCATTTTTTTCAAACATGATTCAAAACGCTAATCCAACTAATGATTTGCCTTCTGATCAGATTATTCCAAGACTCGGATTAGGGGAGGGATACGTTTCTCCCAAGATCGCATGGGCACTCATTGGCTTACATGGATACCATATGAATTTTAAAATGTATGTACGATTGTCTTATATAGAAGTTTGTTGGAAATTGTCAACAAATTGTGATAGATTAGCGACGAATGTGGTGTTTTTACTAAACTAATTCTAATCCTTCGTAAATTTATTTAAAAATAAGGTAACAGTATTTGTGGGTGATCCATTGGTAAATAGTGACAAATGGATTTCGTATGTGGTTTAAGTCTTTCTATTGTAGTGCAGTGGGTTGATTTTATGGTTGTCGATATCAAGATTCTACGTTGGATTGTTTTCGGGTTTGCAAAATCAGTATTTTAAGATTGAATTAGGATCATAAGATCCTACAAACAAAATGTAATTATAAGTTTAACAAATGAAAATTATATCTTCACCCATCAGTTGATTGTCCAAAGGTTCTAAATTGTTTAAAACATTTGTGATAACTAATATATCATTTTCAATCTAATCTAAAATAACAAGCGATGCATCCACACGTTTTAAAACGTTTAAAACTTCGTTTATGACGTTATAAATTAAAAATATTGCAGTTTTTAGCCAAAATAATCTAAAAGAAAATTGTAGTTGGCTTGAATATAAATTTGTGGATATAAAGATTATCAAAATTCGCATACATATGAAGAAGTTATGTTTATCTCAAGTTGGAAGGTAAAGTACATTGTTCAAATGTGAAAAACATAGGAAATGTAGGATCAGAAGGATTCTACGACTTGGTTTTACGATCCCACTACAATTCTATCAGAAATCGTGTTTAATGAAATCGGGATTGTTATTCACGTGTAGGATCATAGAATTGTGCGATTTTACGATTAAAAACGCGATTTTGACAACATTGGTTGATTTAATTGCCAAGAAAATTAAAAGAAATTGTCAAACGAATAGAATAACGAGTTAATTATTTGGGATGGTATCGTTGTATAATTTTTATGTAGAATGGTAATATATCTTCATATCTTGAGTTTCATCCATTTAATTTAAACCATATACTTTCAACATTTTGCATTAAATAATTTACTTCGACTATTGATTCCTTTTGTAAGTATTGGAAGTAGTAAAGAAACCAAAAATCCGACTCGTTTTTGTTCTATCATTTCTTCTATAAATATAACCCGAAAATGAGAACCGAATCCACTCGTCTCTCAAAAAGAACTACTTTAAATCAATCATCCATCACTAGGCTTTATTATTCTCTCTCGCTCTCTCTCTCTCTCTCAACTTACCAACTACAACCAAAAGAAGAAGAAGCAGAATGATGTCGATGGAATCAACTTCTTCTCTTGCTCCGTCGTCAGTCATGTCTGCTCAACGATCACCCTGGCATTCACCGGTTCCATACCTCTTCGGAGGCCTTGCTGCCATGTTGGGCCTCATTGCTTTTGCTCTCCTGATTCTCGCATGCTCGTACTGGAAGCTCTCCGGCTACCTCCAAAACAACCCCGACGACGAGAGGGACATTGAATCTGGAGACGGCGACAGCAAACCTGATAATGGCAACGACAAGCCACCGCCGGTTTTTGAAGAGAAGTATCTTGTAATTATGGCTGGACAAGCCACTCCGACGTTTTTGGCCACACCCATTTCCAGCACAGCCTCGTCGTTTGGTAGTTGCAGTTGCCTGAGCAATTCAACTGGGTTGACGGAAAAAGTATCAACGTCTGAGATGGTGACTGATAAAGAAGAGACCAGTTACCGGTTAGAAGTGAGGATCATGGAGAACGAAGAGGATGCTGATCAGCTCCGTTGATTCTTGTTTACGATTTGGTTAGGTGGGTTCCATGATAATTAGATGGATACTTCCCGAAATGTACATGAAATCTTTGAATTATGAATTCAATGTTCCGTTCTTTTATTCATTAAATGTTGTGGGAATAAAATGAAATTTTGAATCACAATTAATGATTAAGATAAATTACATAAATCGTTGTTGTCGTGGTTTGATAATTTGACCAGATCTATATTTTGATTCCTATAACGATATTTTTGTTGTTTTTATAAGGAAGTTTTCATTCGGATCATGGATAAGAAACACAAAGCCGTGTAGTGTTGTGTTCGTGTTTAAAATTTAATACGCTAATAACACGATATAGCACAAAACGTCGTGTTCGTGTTCGTTTTCAAAATCCAAGTATATATAATAGCATTCTATGTCATTTTATGTTATCTTTTTGTTGTGTTACTTGTGTTTAAATTATGGGAAAATGACACAGTAGCACATTAAAGTTTCGTCAATTGTCTAATTTGGTCACTAAAGTAATTTTCTTGCTCAATAGACCATTAAAATCGTTATTGACTTGTTAATTAAACGATTATTCTCAGATTTTCGCTTAACATGTCAATAACGAGTTTAATGGTGTATTGCGCAAGAAAAATACTTAAGTAACCTAACCGGAAACTTTAATGTGCTACAGTGTCATTTTCCCGTAAATTATCTTTTTTAAAAGAACTTACGTATGCCATTATGCAAATGGTTATTGTTTGTTTTTTTTCATGTTATCGTGTTTTATGTGTTTTTATAAAATCGTGTTCGTGTTAAGGAACAAAAACACGATATCGTATCGTATTCGGGTTAAGAAAAAGTAACTCGTATCATGTCGTGTTAAAGCAAAAAATATGGAAAATTACTGTCCAATTTGCCACCTCTATTGAGACGTGAAAGTCATAGAGTAGGAAACTAACGGAGTAATGGTGTAAGCGATTTAGCCTCTAGGATTAGCACTTAGTTGTATAATGTATATTTGTATTTTCTTTTCAAAGCTTGTAATTATTAAAATATTAATTACATAGTAATACCAAGGCTCTGTTTGACGTACGCGCTGGTAAGTTAGTTGCTAGCAAAAAAATAGTTGTTAGCTGAAAAGCTAACTGTTAGCTTATAAGCTAAACTGATAAAAAAAAATAGCGTTTGGTAAAAATTAACTAACAAGTTTGATGAAATATATAAAATGACATAAAAATACAGTTAGAAGAATATGTTGTTTATAATTGATTAAGGGTATAATTGGAAAAAATTTATAAAGCTCCTGAAAAGCTAATCTAAGTACTTTAAAAAAAACTAACTTATTTGATACTTTTATTCTTCCCAAAATGATAACTTAAAAAACTCAAAAATTATGCTAGTTGTGGCGCACCAAACACGGTCTAAATATGAATTTAAAATATTCGAAATTCTTAAATGGGTTGAAAGGTTGAAATCAGATTGAAAAATTCAAACCAAGCCAAACTCATTCAATTAAACATGTTACACATGTTAACCCGTTTAATTAAAACGGGTTTATAACCCAACCTACTAACCTTTAGAATGGGTTGGGGTTGGTTGACAAATTCGGGTTGGGATTGCAAGTTTTATAACATTATCCCTTCCATATTGCCCTTACCAGAGACCTAATAATGCTCTATCCCCACCTTTTACTCCTTTTTATGCTTTTCTCTGCTCTGCTCTTTTATCGGAAACTGTAACATCCCATTTTTCCACAGTCGTAGATTGTAATAAAAATACGAAATAAAATATATTACTCTAGACCCAAAATAGTCGTCATAGACACATAGGAAACATCGATGCGATTTTCATAGATATATAGAACGCCTAAATCTGATTTCATATGAAGGAGTTATACTTCTTCGAAGTTTTTCGATTAAACCGACACGACTCAGCGTATCGTAAAAAGTGAGTTTTTGTAACACCCTATTTTGAGCCGTTCCATAGTTTAGGGCCGTGACCCAAAGATCAATAATCATAAGGCTTCGGGCTTTAGGATAAGATAGGTTTAGACCCATTTGGATGAGGGTAATGTAGATTATGTGATCCAAGAGTTCGGTTTGTGTTTTGGAGCCCAAGGGTATAATGGTAAAAGTGATGGTTCAGGCCTTTCATGAGTTAAGGATTTTAGTTCGAGGTGTTTCAAGTCAAAAGTAATTAGATAGGGTTGTAGAGCTCCTCAATACCTTTATGTGGATATAAAGATTGCCGAAATCAGAGTTGGAATGAAGAAGTTATGACCGTTAGAAGTTATGAAGGTTTTTGGCTTAGTCAAGTATGTTGGGCGTACAGGAAGTACGTTGGCGTACTGGGCATCCCTTGTAACATCCATAAATTTTCATAAAAATTTAAACTTTTCAAAACAACCCTTTTTCTATAGAAGTGTTTACAAAACCGTTGTTCCAAAACATTATTTAAAATCAGAATCGCTCTCAATATAGTTTTCAAAACTTTGTCATTATCAGAGTATCCCAGAATTCATAAGTCCAAAAACGCGAGGATGTGTACGGTCACGCCTTCACCCTGACAAGATCCGCTGAAGTACTTGAAACCATAAACCAAAACTGTAAGCACGAAGCTTAGTGAGTTCCCCCAAAGTACCAACACACAAACAGATAACATATACCAACAACAACATGCATACAGAGCCTTCAGCCTGTCTGGACCGCCTCACCGGGCCTTCAGCCAGTCTGGACAGCTCACAAAACCTTCAGCATGTCTGGACCACTTCACCGGGCCTTCAGCCTGTCTGGACCGTTCTTTGGGCCTTCGGCCTGAATGGTCCGCCTGACAGGCCTTCAGTTTATCCGGGTCGCCTTGGGACTGTTGGCCTTCAGCACAAAGCATGATCGCCTCAACCCAACCACACACACAAACCATGTCGACATATACATAACAGATAAGCATACATATAATATACCGATATAAACATTATCAGGTTTGTTGACTGGCAGCACAGAGCAGTACAATCTCAACCCAACCACACTACCTCAAAACATGCAACCGGTAAACATATAGCCAGAACAGATAACATGCAGATCTAACAGATCACTAAGCATAGCATCTTCCTATCTACCAGGATACAGATCTAACAGATCACTATAGCACACCAACATACGATAAACCAGGATGACAATCCAAAGGGCCGGCCTTGATGCCTTCGACCCGCAAGTACAGTGAGGAAAACTCACCTCGAATACAGAAGTTCACTGCAAGAGCTCTTAGCTGCTGCCCCGACGACACCTCCGATCTATCAGATCAAAATAACACCCAATTAGCAATTGGGTTTCGTTCTAAGGCCCACCATCCATACTTGGGGAAAAATGACCATTTAACCCCTGACCCAACATGAACCAAAACTGAGGCCCAATTCCATTAACCAAAAAGTTCCAAAACCAAAAGATCCACAAAGGCCCACTAGTGGCCCAATTTTCCAAATTGGGCCCAACCTCATATGAGTCTTATCCTAAGCCTATAATTTCCTTTATTACAATTCAGGTTACCTTAAGTACCCCCTTAGGATAACTTGGTCAAAGACAAAAGTCAAAAAGTCAAGGTCAACGGCCCGAGTTGCCCCAACTCGTCGAGTTGTTCCTTCAACTCGCCGTGTTTTTCTATTTAAATGCAAAGTCGGGAAAAACATATCCAACTCGCCGAGTTTATCAATAAACTCGCCGAGTCTGCTCAAAACCCAATAGCTTAATACAATAAGCACTTAATCTATAAGGACATGACCCCAAAACCTAGATCTGACTTCCTTGAGCTGGAAAACCACGTAAAGTTGCCAACTTTACGTTCATGCATGTCTAAATAAAGCTTTTAAGCTTAAAACGGACTTAAGAATTGACCTAATGCATGCATGATACCAAAATCCTCATAAAGCTTACAATTTTAAGCCAAATTAGGCCACAAAATGGCCATATCTAAAATGACAACCCATGAAACACTCAAATCCTTGGACAATCCATCAAAGAATACAATAATCAACATAAAACCCCAAAATAAGAGATCTAATCAATGAAGAAGCAAGGTACAAGCTTTATACCTCAAAGAGACTGCATTAAGTGGGGAAGTTCTAGATCTAAATCCTTTCCACCAAGCTAGACACCTTCACTTCAAGGATCCTTCAAAAGAGTACCAAAAATCAACACTCAAAGCTCTCCACAAGCTCGTACACTCAACTATGGAAGATAATAGTCGAATTTAGGGTTTCTGGACAGAGGAGGCTGGTAAGGAGGCCATCCAAGGGACTTAAGGCCTTTAAATAGGGTGCAACACCATAAAAATTAGGGTTTCCTTCCCAGCTGCCAACTCGCCGAGTTGAGGCTCCTCAACTCGCCGAGTTGCTTCATTAAATCCCGCGGCCAAACATTCCTCAACATGTCTAGTTGAGACTGCCCAACTCACCGAGTTCGACTGGAAAAACATACAAAAGATAATTCTTATACCAAGAAGTCAGGATGTTACATCCCTGGTACGTTGGGCGTATGCGATCAGTACCTAAACCCTATTTTTGTGGTTTGAGCCTATTTAAGCTCCTTAACTTCCCAAAACCCATTCCATTCTCAACCTCCACCTCTCCAACACCCTCCTTTGAAACCCTAACCCTAGTTTGAGCCTTGTGAGCAAAAACAGGTGTTCTTGAGTGCTTAGGAGTGTTCTTGGTGCATCATGGAGAAGAAGGATCTCATTGAAGAAGTGTTGGTTGCATTGGAGCTTGTAGATCCATGCCTTATCCACCTTAATCTTTCTTCTGGAGGTAAAAACCTTCAATCTTGATGATACATTTGATATATCTAGCTAGTCTTGGGTGTTATGAGCTTTTTGTCACTTTAGTGCATAAAGTTTAGATCTTGAAATTTTGTGACCTTGTTATGGATAAAGTTGGAAACTTTATCCATCTAGAACATCATATTGATTCAGATCTAAAGGTTGGAGACTTGGACTTAATGGATTAAGTTGGAAAAAAAGATGAACTTTTGGTCTCT